GTATATGGAAAAAAAAAAACAAAGAAACAATGAAAACAAAAAAAATATGAAAGAAACAAATAGAAATGAATTCACATGAACGTTTATATATTTTTATCTATATATATATATATATATATTATATACATATAATAACCATAGGATAGAAAGATATAATAATTTTTTGTAATTTTATTCTTATTCTAACAATATCACACAAATTATATAACGTGCGAAGTTGACACGAATTTTTACGAGTTTTTTTCCCACTTTTTTGGCGACTTTTGGGGCGCAGATGACAAAAGTGAGTATCCCTTTAGCTCGTCTCGAGTTGTGCCATATATCATTTAATAATATAATAAATAATGAAAATCTTTTTTTTTTCTTTTTTTTTTTTTTTTTTTTTTTTTTTTTTTCGCAGCAGCATCCAAGCGCATAGACCGTGCATTGAGGGTGCATACACACACATGTATCTGACGTGTAACATTTTAAACGTCTATCAATGAAACACACAGACAGACAGATAGATAGATAGACAGAGTGAGAGTTATGGTTACGTTCGATACGTTTAAAAGATACACGTTCGATGGATCAATGGCAACACGATGATCTTTGATAGAAGACACTTGCCTGTAAAACGATATCGACAGTTACCTGTTCGCACATTGTCAAATATTCCACGAACTATATCTCCGTGACCATTTCCATCTCACAAATCCGTTGTTTAAACGATTGTAAAAGTAAACGTAAAGAAAAAAATAATATTTTCATTAATATTTTCGATTGTGTGTGTGTGTGTTTTGGTATATAATTATAATATAATAAAAAGCCAGGATACATGGCGTGCATGCACGCATAAAGCACTTTGGCAAACGAACATTTTTTTTTTTTTTCGTTTCTTTTTCGCTCTACGTAAAAAAAGATGAAAATATATTTATTACCACACACGTCTCGTTCCATTATTATTATTAATATATTATCTACGATACTATTATTAATCGATAGATCGAGCACAAGTTGTTCTTTATAGATGTTAACTAATATTATACAAATAGTTCTAACCTCGTCGTGTCGTTTTGTTGTGTAACGAGTCTAACGGTAGTTGTTAATTAAATTTTAAACGATTAGTCAGAATTAGAAATTGGTTGTATTTTTTTTTTGTGTTTTTTTTTTCTTTTTTTTTTTTTTTTTCTTCTATATATACATATGTTTCACGTTATCTCGTCCCATTTATTTTATTTATACAACAACAAAGAAATTAATAATAATAATAATAATCATCGTCGAGATCATAACGAAATCATTCAAGTATTATGATACAATAATTTATCTCCATATTTAACAAGGTAAAGTTACGAAACAAAAACAAAATTTGATTAAAATATTAATTTACTATCGTTCGTCATAAATCTTGAAAGTTTCGTTATTTTCGATGATAATATTCATCGTTATTCTTACGAAAAATCATCGCTGATTCGTCCGCGTTTGAAATATCGCGGGATATAATTAAAAATGAACTACTTTGATGATATATTTTTTATTCATTGTAAAAAACGAAATGACAAGTTTTTTCCGTGGAAAAAAAATAAAATAAAATAAAATAAAATAAAAGAAAAGAAATTAAAAAAGGTAAAATAATACACTAACGTTAATGGAACGCGAAGG